TGATTTACAACTTAATTCTCCATTTTCTGATGAGAGGAGTTTCCTTCTGAATCCTAAATGAGAAAGGGCTGTGGAAATTAAGATATTAAGTACACGGATGAAAGAGTCTCCTAGAAGTGAAACTCGCCTCAGAGAGACTCAAAGCAACTGTAACCTTGTTTTTATGTCAACCTGGAGAATAAAAAAAAAACAAAGAAGAAAGAAATTTGGAGTAACACATTAAATAGTTTTTGCAAAAGAGAACTGCTAACCTTAGGCAAGTCAGTTGTTCATGCAGCTTTTGCTTGTTCCTGGAATGGGGCAGAATCCTGCTCTGACACACACATCCTCTTCCTATGTCCATGCAATTTCTTTTCTTTATGTTCAGCAGAGAAGAAGAGAAAAAAAATGGTACAAAATCAAACTGAGACCAAAAGGAAATCCCTGCTGCTTGACTTTTTTTTTTTTTTTAAATAACAGTATCTTGTGCTTACTAAAGCATCACTTATATGACCCACCTTTTCAACACATTTAGCCACCCACAATGAACATTTGTGAACTTCTTATTTGGGAATAGAATATGAGAACATTCTTATGGAGCATCACAACAGGATTTTACATGTCTCAAAAAACCTGCACGAAAACCTCTGGAACAGCAGTATTGCAGGAACACCTTCCTTTTGCAGAACTGGAAAAAAACAGTTACTAGCAGTGTTGGAAATATATAGCTTTTCTAATTTTCAGTGGTTGTAATTAAACCTTTTAGTTACTTATTTTAACTAACTATAATCTGTGTTAGGCCTCAAATTACTCTTAGCCAGCTACTTTTGTAAGGACATAGATTCTTAATAACTTTCGAAGTTTTACTTAGCAAAAGTAAGAACTTTTGCTAAACTGACCTTGATGTGCTTGAATGAGCAAAGCCTGGGAAAAAAAATATACTGTTGAATTTGGACATCCGGAAAGACGGAACACAAATAATAATAAGAAAAAAGGCTTAGTATTTGTGCTGGAAAAACACCACCAGAGGGCAAAAGACACTAAAAAGACTACAGATACGGACTAACTGTTATAGAAAATGAGAAATTAATAGCCAAAAGAAGGTAGAATAGGAACTGAGGAATTACATAATTTAGAACCAATTATCAATTATCTCTTTGTTTTCTAAAATGTAAAAGCAGATAAAAAAGGCTATTATTGGTGCCTGTGTGGGGACTGGGATTCTTTCAGTCTTTCACACACACCTTGGGCCAGAAATAAAGTAATGCCTTAATTTCTAACACTACCAAGATGGTATGAGAGGGTTTTATTTATTCTGACACTTTCGGAGTGTTTGGCAATACTGGCAGAGAACACAAGCAGGCATCGGTCCAGAAATACAGCTGTTTGTGGCAAAACGGGCAGAATCAATTCTCTCTATACAGAATATCCAGGGGGTCAGAGGCCTATTTCAGTAACTGTTCAGTTTCCTCACCTTTTCACATCTGAAAATACAGAGCAAAGACAGTGGTTTCAGCACAGGCGCTTGGGATCTGCTAAGGCGATCCTGAGGGGAGCCGAGCCGAGCCGAGCCGAGCCCTCAGGCGTTTCGCGCCCTTTTCGCCCACAGAGCGCGGCGCGCGCTTCCAGTCACAGCGTGAGGGGATCGAGGAGGAGGAGGAGGAGGAGGAGAACGAGGAGGAGGAGGAGAACGAGGACGACGAGGAGGAGGAAAACGAGGACGACGAGGAGGAGAAGAACGAGGGCGCGGAGGAAAACTCCCCGATCACCGCCGCATTATCTGTCGGCATTGCGAGGGGAACTGCTGGCGCTGCGCGTGAGGGATCGCCACCGCCTCAGTGGCGCCCAGCCCCGGCGCACCAGAGCGGAGAAGGAGGAGGAGGAGGAGGCAGCGGAGAAGAAGGCTATGGTGACCATCGCCATGTCGGTCAGTCCTCACAGAGAGAAGCGACGCCGTAACCAAGCGACGAGGGAGGAGTAGGGGCAAGTAGCGGGAACGACGTCGAGACGGAACAGGCGGAGCCGAGAGCAGGGCGGAGCTGAGGGCAGGGCGAAGCTGAGGGCAGGGCGGAGCTGAGGGCAGGGCGGAGCCGAGGGCAGGGCGGAGCCGAGGACGTCATGCCTGAGGGGAGAGCTGGATCCTCGCAGATGGTGCCCCGAAGTCGGACTTCGTTTGCAGTCTTTGGTTTCCGTGAGCTTCTGTTCCCGTCCCTCAGCACCGCCCTTCCCTCAGCTCTTCCCGTCCCTCAGCTCCGCCCGGCCCCCGCCGGTCCACTGTTTGCCCCGTCTCCTCCCCTCGTCGCTTGGTTACGGCGTCGCTTCCGTCCCTGGGGACCGACCGACATGGCGGCGGCCACCACAGCCTTCTCCTTTTCCTTCGCCTCCTCCTCCTCCTCGGCGCTGCTGCGCCCGGGCTGGGCCCCGCTGAGGCGTTGGCGAGCCCTCACCGGCCCTGCCCCGCGGGCCGCCTGCAGCGCCAGCAGCTTCCCCCGCAGTGCCGACAGGTACGCAGCGCCCATCGGGGCGTTTTTTTTCTCGTTCGTTCCTCCTCCTCTTCGTCTTTCTCCTCCTTCTCCTCGATCCCCTCACGCTGTGGCGGAAAGCGCGCGCCGCGCTCGGCGGGCGAAAAGGGCGCGAAACGCCTGAGGGGGCAGCGGGCTCGGCTCCCCTCAGGATCGCCCTTGGCGGTGGATGCCCTCAGATCCCCGGCGAGTTCAGCGGTTCTTCTCGGGAAAACTGAGCTCTGTGCTAGCGGGATGGCGGGCGGCAAGCGGGCCCGGTCCTGGCCTGGGTGATCCACCAGGGATTTAAGCGGTGCGCCTTGAAGGAGCCCTTGCGGTGTGATCTTCCTACCCCCTCCCTGAGGGGAAGCTGGTATTACATGTTTGTTTGCTTCTGGTACCTTAAAGAGCCTCTCAGTGGTTTTCTAGAGCATTACTTTATATATATGACTTTATATATTAATGATGTGGTGGCAAGCAGGACACGGTCTGGTGCAGTGAGGACCATTCTGCTGATGTTAATCACCTCGCTGGTTTAATTTATTGTGCTGTCTGCACAGGGATTCTTGTGGTGGTGTTGTAGCACAGCAGCTCCGAACACTTGCCTGGATGTGGATGGGAGGGTGTCACTGAGTTCCTGGTTGTTCAGCCTTTTCATTTATGCTGGTTTTGTGTTAAATCCTGACTGAAAGTTGGCTCTGTTCAGCAGAACCCAAGCACCTGTGCTGAAAGTATTGTCTTTGCTCTGTGTTTTCAAACGTGAAAAGATGAGGAAGCTGAGCAGTCGTTGAAATAAGCATCTTCTGTTCTGTATATTGAGAATTGATTCTGCCAGTTTTGGCACAAGCAGCTGTCTTCCTGGACCAGTGCATATTCTGCTTCTGTTCTGTGCTGCTAGTAACTGTTTTTTCGAGTTGTGCAAAATGGAGATGTTCTTGTCATAATGATTTTCCAGAGGTTTTCATGTGATATGTATGGGATGTGGAGAATCCTGTCGTGATGCTCCGTATGATCTTGGGCTTTTAATGTATAGGTTGATCTGGAATAGCAACTGAGATCTTTGTTTCTGTCATGTTCTGCAAGTGATAGGATCCATTTACAAGAATAATTCAGTAAGTGAACTTCCTGTTGTAAAGTCACGCTGGGTTCGGAATAGGAGCATCCGTGCTCTAGGAATACCATTGGGACAGGGTGATGTAGTAACACATATGAAGTCTGTCATTTAACCTGGTCATTACATCTGTCATAAATGTCAGTAAATCTGCCACTGACCAACCCCTGGTCAAGGTTTTCCTGTGGCTAATGTTTAAAATAATAATAGTAAGAACTAATTTCTTAATTTCAGTGTCTTGAATAGCCTCCTGCAATGTAACCCTTCTGTACAGCTGAAACTTTCCTTGCTCATGTAATTCTTGTATAATTCCATCGAAGGATGTATACTATATGAACTCTAAACCTAAGAAGCACCAACATATTTGTGGTGATAGTGGTTCAAGGGTTGGACTTGATGATGTCAGAAGTCCTTTCCAACCCATCTGATTCTGTGATTCTATATTTCAGTATTTAATAATTAGTACTTAGTATTTTTATATTTGGCATCTGTGAAAAATACTATTTACCCTCTCCCTTCTCGGTAGATATGAAATAGGAAAAATTGAGCTACTGTTTACATTGATACTTTTCTTAACTTCAGAGTATCCATGTAGCTGCTGGAATGCAGGAGAGGTTTGTTCTTGCAAAGTAGGGCCATCCTATAATTTCTTACTAAGGTGCAATTGTCCTTGTTTTCTTCTGCCTGTGTGAATTAATGTAAAATAATTTTTACCTTCCATATATGGACTTCTATATCATTGCAAAAAAAAGTCCTTCTGAGATGGAAATTGAGCACCCGTGTCACCATCATTTTAGCTGCTCCACTCAGCTGTGGCCCCCCCAGGCGAGGCTGTGCTTCCATGTACCCTGTGGGGCTCAAAGAGTCAGTCCCCGCCATTTTGGGGCTCTGGAGGCCCTGGGTCAGTCCCCGCCATTTTGGGGCTCTCGAGGCCCTGGGTCAGTCCCCGCCATTTTGAGACAGCCCCTGGGTCAGTCCCCGCCATTTTGGGGCAGCCCCTGGGTCAGTCCCCGCCATTTTGAGACAGCCCCTGGGTCAGTCCCCGCCATTTTGGGGCAGCCCCTGGGTCAGTCCCCGCCATTTTGAGACAGCCCCTGGGTCAGTCCCCGCCATTTTGGGGCAGCCCCTGGGTCAGTCCCCACCGTTTTGGGGCAGGCCCTGGGCCATCCCACATGTCCAGAGCTCAACCTATTCCCTTCACACACCTTTCCCACCTGGTTGTTTTGAGCCAGTCAACCCTGGTTTGATGCAGAGATAAAGCTAGAAGTGCAGTCCTGGAAGCAGTTTGGGACATTACTATAGAGGGAACTTCTTGCTAAGGTATAATTGTCCTTGTTTTCTTCTGCCTATGTGGAGTAATGTGAAATAATTTTTGTCTTTTATATCTAGGCTGCCCCACAGCGTTAATTTCTCAGAGTGGTTTTGTCTTGAAACATTTTTTGTTACCAGACAAGTCTTTGCCTTTTAAAATGGCCTTTTTCTGAGGCTTGTACAACTCACTATTGTCCTTGGAAAGATCCAGGTGTTAAAGAGCCTCGTCCCAGCACCTCTTGGGCAGGATATATTACATGTGTTTTCTCCTAGTTTTGTGTGCTTCAGGGTAGGTTTTTTCCTTCTAGATTTGTGCATTTTTAGCACTGTTTATCTGTTCACTTGCTTTGCCTTGGACCTTTGGATGACTGAGAAGACTGAAGGTGATGGGGTGAGAAGGGTGAGGTTTCAGTGAGGACGGACCTTGAAAGCTTAATGATCCTGAGGCCAGATTTTGAGGAAGAGTGTGCACTTAACATGGTTTGCTTAGAGGCTGGGAAAACTTTTCATTAGACAACGCATTTATAGTGAAAGTAGCATAGGAAGGTGATACTCATTCCTATGGATTGAACACATTTTTGGCACCAAAATATTGTAAAATCCTTGTATTGTTAAATGGGGAAGGCATTCCTGCACAGGTGGGCATTAATTATTTGCCTGGGATAGTGAGTACTTGGAAAGCAGCGTCTTGTGCCAGGGGCATGTAGAACTGAATCATAAGTAATGAAGAAGAGAGAGAGACATGTCTGAAAATGAGCACACACAGAGGAGGCCACACAGGAAAAGAATAAAACTGCACCTGTTCCCTACATTATTTTTTCTGTTAGTGAAACTACAGAAACTTGTGTTTGGGTGTAAAAGGAAAAGAAGCAAGGTGTTTGTGCTTTTTTATTTGTGCTCAGTGTGTTTCTAATGCCTTGTTTTCCTGATAACCAGTTGGATAAATTGTTTTTTGCAGAGTGTGTGTGCTTTTTGGCTTTTTGCTTGTATGTTTGGGTTGTTTTTGTTTGTTGGATTTTGGTTTTGTGTGTTGTGGTTTTTTTAACTAGGCACTGTGATTTTTTTTGTTATTGTTTTGTTGTTGTTGTTGTTTTTAGTTATAATGACACCTCTTCGTTCTAACTCACTTGGAGTCCTTGATAAACTATGTCTGTTACCAACAGTGGTCTTTTTGAATTAATTTTTTCAGTTCAAGGCAGGGGTTACAGTGTTCATGTGTCTGTGTGTTAAATTCTCCATCTCAGAGAAGGAAGCCTGCAGAGACTTAATTTGTAGTAAGATCAAGTAATCCTTTGATGGTGTTTGGTTAAGAGCTGATGAACCAGAAACCTGTCTTTTTCCACACTTTTGTGCATTTTAGGCTCTCTGATGGAGACTTACTGAGAATGATTGAAACTGCAGAAATTTCTGAAGTAATAAAAGGCAGTTTACTTCATTTCCCTCTTAAATTATGACTTTGAATCTTAGAAAAGACCATGTTTTAAACCAGATCAGTGATACAATTTCTTGCTCTGTAGCTTTCTGTCCCTTCCTGCTTTCTCCCATCTGAGCACCACCAGCATTAGCAATAAAATTAGTATTTTAAGGCTGTTTGTTTGAAACAAAAGAACTAACATGGTATAATCTGAAAGTTGGAGGTGCTGGAAGGTTTTTGTTGCAGGTCAGTGGAGAGAGTGTGTGTGGGGATGTTCCACATCCCTGGTTGGGGTGATGATCACAGCAATGATAGAGGGAAAGAGAGGACTGAGGAGTTCTGACACAAGTTCAAGATGACTTTCAGGGAGAGTCTTCATCTGCTCTAGTGCTGGTTGAGGAGCACAGGGAGGTTACTGGAGTGAGGGGGAACTGAAAGGATGAAAGTGGAGAGGACATGATAGAAGCTCCTGAGTTTGTCACCACTGGTTTAACTGCTGAGTGAAGTCCTAAGTATGGTTAAATAGTATTAAATAGTATCATCTAGGCTTGGACAAAAGAATAGTGTGAATAAGCTCAAGTCAAATAGATTTTTAAGGATATATGGGGACTGTCGTGAGTAAAGACTCCTTAAAACAGAAGAACTTAAGAGCATAAGAATGTTCTCATTTTCTGTTCCCAAATGCAGGAGTTCATGTATGTTCAACGTGGCTGGCTAGATTTTGGGAATGTGGGTTGTGGCTGGTGAGCTCCTTTTCCATGTGCAATGATGGCATATTCCTGCTCTTCAAATAAGAGTAGGGAAACACTTCTTTTCCCGTGGATTTGTAGTATGTTTTTCAAATGAAATACTAGCAAATGAATCAAAACATTTTGCAGTGGTTGGCACGGTAGATCACACACTTAAAAGTGTCTTCCTGGTGAAATTTCAGACCTAAATATTGTGTATCTTTTTGTCTTTATAGTGATGAAGCAACAGTTATCTCAGGGACAAAGCTTGCTAACCAAGTTTTGAAAGAAGTTCAAAGGGATGTAGAATCGTGGATATCTGTTGGGAACAAGAGACCTCATCTCACTGTCATATTAGTAGGAGACAATCCAGCCAGTCATATCTATGTCAGGAACAAGATAAAAGCAGCTGCAGCTGTGGGTATGTCATATAAGTGATCCTTTGGTAAGCATAAGGTACTGCTATTTAAAAATAAAAAAATAAAGCAGGAGGAATCCCCTGTTTTGTCTTAATTCAGTCTTGCACCATTTTCTTTGTCATCTTCTCTGCTGAATCTAAAGAAAAGAAATTGCATGGACATAGGGAGAAAGTAGTTTTAATATCTCTTGAGTAGGAGCCATAAGTTTAATTCTGTATCTTGAAATATTGTTAGGAAACAGTTTTTAAGCCTCAGACAGATTTTTAGAC